TGTTTGGGCACTTGTAAGTGTGTTCGTTTTTGCTTGGCTTTGTTAATTTGTCTTGACTTTTGTAATTTTGTTTTCTGAAAAGTTAATTTGATTTGCCCTTATCGGCCACCGTAATTTCACTCAGTTGTCAAGCTGCACTGTGGGACATCCCACTGAAGTTTCTGGATATCATGGCTGGCCTGTACAATGGCACTGTAAGTGCTGTGCAGAGTGGAGGTAGAACCTCTGCATTCTTCCCAGGGGATTCAGACATTCATCAAAGGTACGTTCTTGCTTCTACTCTGTTCAGTGGTTGCATGGACCAGGTGTTGGGCAGGGTTGTGGGATATCTGTTGGTGAGGAAAGATTTACCGATCATGACTTTGCCAATGGCGCTATGATCTATGCGGAGTTAATGGAGGCTCTGATTGGGGCTCTTGAGAGACTGAACAAGTTGAGTCTGAGTGCCTCGGTTTGCAAATGTCTTGGATCAAAACCAAGATGTACGTCATTAATGACCTCTTAGGCAGAGCCGTCAAGGGATTGTGTTTGTCTGTGGAGAGAGTGCCGACCTTGCTGAGATTTTCACTTACCTTGATAGCGACATTCATGTCTCTGGTGACTCTTCCTATGAAGTCATTAGACAAACTGGGAGAGCATGGAGGGTCATGAGGTCGCTGGCAATGGGTGTGTGGCGCTCCTTATATCTTTGCAAAAGGGCAAAGGTCCTAGTCTTTAGAGTCCTGGTGCTCCGTCTTGCTGTATGCCTGCAAGACATGGATGCTATCCAGTGACCTGAGACGAAGACTAGAATCCTTTTTTACTGTGTTTCTTTGGAGAATCCTTGGGTACTGCTGCTTTGACTTCGTGTCAAGCGAGCAGTTGGTCAGGGAGTCCCTAATGAGGCACATTTCCTGCATTGTGAGGGAACTTCAGTTACAGCACTAAAGCCATATGGCACGTTTCCCTGAGGGTGATCCGGCTCACAGGATCCTCATTGCTGGGTACCCAAACAGCTGGATCAGATCAAGGGAATGCCCTCGTAACACCTAGCTATGGCATAGGGGTAGGCACTTGTGGGGGGTGGGGCTGGACCAAATATCGGCCTTGGCACTTGTCAACCAGGACCCTAAGCTGTTTCGTCATGTGGTGGGCAGAGCAACATCTACGAGTGCATGTTCCCCAACCCGACCCAACCTGACCTGATTGCATGTGGGTAACATAAAGCAAACAATAGGAATTATGGCTCAAATGGTTATGTGTTGAGCAATATTTTGGAATATAGTTTGAAAAAGTCCATTAAAATATAATAATGAGCTTTAACTTGCACTGAAAAACTGATGTCATACAGAAGCAGGGGCACCGCTAGAAATTTTGTGCCCGATGCGTGACTCAGGAGCCCTTTGGAATCGCCCTAACTGTCCTCTCTTTGCAGCACACATTAACATAAGTAATGCAGATTTCTTTTTTAATATAGAATATTAATTAAAACCAAGAAACTACCCATGGGTCTAGTCAGTACTAAAAGTCTAAATGTGTCACCTAAAGTAAGGAGATACCATGACCATATACAAATTAAGTAGTTTTTGTTAATTATAATGCTAAAACTTTTGGTTAGAATTTTTCTGCCAAGTTTATGCACAGCCACTACTGATAGATATTAACACAAACATATTTAATTATTATAAGCATTATGCTGCATGACAATAACTGGCCAGATGACCACTGCAGCTCATTCATGCCATATGACCACATCCTAGGCTGGATGCCCTAGCAGCAGCTCATGCAATCATCAGCCCTGCTTCATGCATCATGGCAGGAGAAAAGCTCTCAGTCGGCATAAATTATGCTGTATTTATTGTAATATTATAAACTCTGCATTTTGGTATTTACTTTATGGTCAAGATACAAACATTAATGTACTAATATTTATGTTAATAATCTGCACTGAACTACTTTGCATTTAAATTGAATTTTTACCCTAGGCTGATTACTTACAAGACCTCTTTTCTTATCAGTGGTCATAATGTTTGTGATGATGAGCTAAAATAGCGTTTTATATTAACAATAAGTACTTGTTAATATGTATTTATTTTATAAAGGCAATAACGGCTTTGAAAACCCAGAACCCAATTTAACATTTACATAAACACTTCATTACTTGTATTGATTATTAGAATGCTTAAATCATTTTAGGTCATTTTAGGTCAGGGAGGAGGTAAAATTTCCTTGCTATGTGAGACACAACCATCAATATCGAGGACACTAAAGTAAAAAAATTCCATTCATTATTTTATCGAACATTGTGTGTTCTGTGTATTTTTGGGCTATACGATCATAAACAAGTGTGTTCTTTGCAGCATCATGCAGATAGGTATACACCACAATGTGTGGTAATTTATGGGCTTTTTACTTTATGGGTGGATGAAATTACCCTTGAGAACCTAACAGTGTTTTTGCAATGAAAGTCAACCTTGAGTCCATAGTATTGAAAGGTATATCGGATTTTTGCCATAACATCACACAGTAATTTCTCCTGCCAGCCCTGATGCTGTATCTCCGCGTTCATGCTGCAGTCAGAGGCAGCACCATCGCCTCCCTGCCCTCCATTTGGACCAAGTTAGACCAGGATTTTGCCATCTTGTTCATTTAACGTCCTCGGCCGGCCCCTGCAGGATGGGCCCCCCCTTTGAGTCTGGTTCCTCCCAAGGTTTCTTCCTCCTGGGGAGGTTTTCCTTGTTACTGTCGCCTCTGGCTTGCTCATTGGGGGCTTTGGCTGGGGATAATGTAAAGCGCTTTGACACAATATGATATTGTGAAAACGAGTTATACAAATAAAACCGAATTGAATAATTAGCTATTTATCTCCCCCAAAAGGACAAAATAGAATGTGCAAAACGAAATGAATTTGCTAAGCTCACATGGGAAGGTCTTTAAAAGTGAAAGACATTCTAGTGACTCAGAGCCTCGTTCTCAGAAGCAGCCAATGGTGTCTCAGTTAGATCAGAGCAATACTGCTAGTGTTTCTCTGGTGTTGTATGACTTTTTTTGTTTGCAATACTTGCCCAGAAGTATGTTTATGGAAAGCTCCCATTAGTAGCTTACATAGTCAGACCCATTCAGTTGCAACTATGCTTTTGGCAAGTGCCCCCCGGGGCAGACAAAAGCGCTCACTGCCTAGCCCTCCCCTGAATGCCCAGCTCCCACAGTACCACGGCTGCAATGCCAGGACCACATCACTTGTTGCATCCCTTCAGCTATCATCTATCAATGGAGCCATCTGTTGCCCTTCTCGGAGTCACCTCTCATTCAGAGTACCTGGAACTGCCCCCCCCCCCCCCCCCCCC